TTAAGTGAAACTAAAATCCCTGAACCAAAACCTAACCCGTTGCTGTTGAGTCAATTCCGACTCATGGTGACTCCATATGTTAGAGTAGAACTAAGCTCCATAGGGTTTTCTTGGCTGTAATCTTTTTGGAAGTAGATCACCAGGCCTTTCTTCAATGGTGCTGCTGGGTTAGTAGATGAGCATAAACTATTTGCACCACTCAGGGACCTAAAAAATCCTGGGTATTATGTATAAAACAAACATAAGAATACTCTGAAAGGTGGGGAGAAGAAGGCAGACTGGCCAGGGACGTGGGGGCCAGGGGAATGACATGGTGGTAAGTTCCCTGGGTTTTCTTTTTGCCTCATATATCCCAGACTTGGAGCTGAAAAAGCCAGGAAACCAAAACACCAATTGCTGCATACAAAAAAAATGTCCAAGAAAAGTCTTCTCCCTTTAGCCAAAGGACTAACAAAAAGGCAGCCTAGCAAAACAAAAAATTTTAGGCAATAACAATTCTACTCCAGCCAAATATCACAGAAAATACTGTGGTCCCATCCTCACTCATGCCAGCAAAGGCCAATGGGGAGACTAGACTTCTGCCATTGTGAGACTGTAGGAAGGAGACCTAACACGCTTGTCGGGGTGGTGTCAGATAAAACCAAGTAGGAAATCAGAACTTCCACGACCACTCAGCAGTAATGATACATCCCTCTCCCTCCCTGCTGGGGTAGTGTCAGAAGAGGTCTAGTGGAGGGTCAAGACTTTCACCATTGCACAGTAATAACTACATTCCCCCATCATTGTATTGTCTGTGGGGACCACATGGGGAGCCAAAATTCTTACCACCTCCCAACATCAATGGAGACTGAGTGGTGTTACACCAAAAATCATATTAAGCTAATAATAGAAGTTGATTGAAGTTTATTTAATATATGATTTGCAAATCAGGGTAACCTTTCCTTTAGAGAGTAAAAAATGTTCTGAAGATGAGAGACCCTTGAAACACACCAAATCTTATCGACATACCGCAATGGAAAAAAGAGTTGAAACAGAATGGATAAATCTGTGGTCGGGAAGGATTTTCCACAGCATTGGCTTGAAAAACAGTTAAAATAATTACCAGTTTACCCTAAACATAGCTCCCGGTCTGACCCTTGGAATCTGTTTCCTGAAACTGACTAAATGCTTCAAAAGAGCAAGGCAAAAATGTCTTACTAGTTTATCTAGGCCATTGTTGGACTCAAAGGCAACTCCCAGGAACCAGTTTCTCCACGACTCAAGGAAAGAACACCCAAGGGCAAATGGCCTGGGTGGATCATCCTAACTCCATAGGCCCAGAAATGTGTGGATTCCAGGAGGATTAAAAGGGTTTCTCAGTGGGGACCCTGGACTTCTTAACTCCACCTGGCAGTAATGAAGAGTTGTTCCTCTTTTAACCTGCCAGAGTGGAGTTATAGAAAGTCAGCTAAAACAGAGGGTTTAAATAGGAGCCAGAAACTCACACACCCATAACGTCCAAGTTTCACTTGTTTTAGGGTAAAATCACCACAAATTTAGTAAAGCAAAAAAGAAAGATTTTATTCGGCATATATTCAAAGAGGCAAAAGTAGGAAATAAACAAGCATGCTGCTATAGCCATGTCTGCCCAAATCCAAGGAATATTACAGAATAGTCAAAAGTGGGAAAACGGACAAGCATGCTGCCAAAGCCATGTCTGCCCAAGTCCAAGGGATGTTACCGAATGACCAGTATATATTAACATTACGAAATGGGCACCACTGAAAGCTTCACCTTCTCACAGGTTGGCTAAACACTGTTAAGTCATGGTGATTCTACATTTCGAATCGCCTTTCTTAACAATCATTGGTACATGTTTCAGTAACGACAGTCAGGAGGGTTTTCATGGCTCCAACAAATCTTACTGTTCACTAATGCTAATAGAAAAAGATAAGAGTAGAAAGTATGTGGGTCTTTTGGGCTGTTTTATTAGTTTATGTGAAAGGTTCCCTAAAATATGTTTTCCAAGATTGTCCTAGCTACTGTCTTTATGGAGCCGTGGTGGTGCAGTGATTAAGAGCTACAGTGAGCTATGGCTGCCAACCAAAAGGTCAGCTGTTGGAATCCATCAGCTGCTCCTTGCAAACCCTATGGGGCAGTTCTACTGTCTTATTGGGTTGCTATGAGTTGAAATCAACTCAACAGCAATGGTTGTTTTTGTTTTTCTTTTTTAATTGTCTTTGTACCTCAGGGCCCAGTTGATGTGTCCTTGTGAGTCCTTGTGAGTCCAGCTCCAGCTGGGTCACATTCTAGGACAGGAAATATTGGCTCCAATATTCTAAATCACACTTGAAAATCACTAGTCAAATAAAAACCAGGAAGATCTCAAACCGAATGAAAAAAGACAATCAATTGAGCCTAACACCAAGTTGAAAGAAATGTTAGGATAATCTGACAATTATTTTAAAGCAGCCATTTAAAAATGCTTCAGTGAGCAATTACAAACATGTTTGAAACAAATGAAAAATAGAAAGACTCAGCAAAGAAATAAAAAGCCTCAGCAAAGAAGTAGAAAATATAAAGAGGAACAACATGGGTATTTTAGAATTGAAAAACTGACCAACTGAAATAAACTCAGGGCATGGGCTTAACAACAGAATGGAGGGCCAGAAGAATCAGTGAACTGGAAGATAGAACAATAGTTGAGGAGTTGAGGATACAAAGAAATCTAAGTGAACTAAACTCCAGAAACAGGCTTTCACAGGAGAAAAGAGGCCTCTGTCTGCCCTCATTCCTGGTGGATGGGCAGAGGGGCAGAGGGGCAGAAGAGGAGAGATCACGGAAGACCAGGTATGGAGAAACCAGCTCAATCTTTAAGAGATTTTTAAGGCTTATCTGTGGACCTGCTGGACAGATTAGAATTCCCAGTAGCTTCAACAACGCAGAACGTCACTGATCAGAGTGAGTACGCCAAACAGGGGTGTGGGGCAGGATGGAAAACTGAGAGAAATACCACTGATGCATTCCCAAGAGCAAGGCCTTCTGAAGTTGGGGCGCATGGCAGGAAAACCAAGGGAAATCAATCCAGGGCTCTCTGGATTTTAGGCTGCTAAAAAAGCTCGGCTGTTAACCAAAATGTCAGCAGTTCGAATCCACCAGCCGCTCCTTGGAAACCTGATGGGGCAGTTCTACTTTGTATAAGTCGGGATGGACTCGACTGCAACGGGTTTGGTTTAAAGGCTGAAAGGAACCCTGGTGGTGCAGTGGTTAAGCCCTTGGCTGCTAATTGAAAGGTCAGTTGTTCCAACCTACCAGCTGCTCGGTGAGAGAAAGAATGTGGCAGTCGGCTTCCGTAAAGATTTGCAGCCTTGGAAACCCTATGGGGCAGTTCTACTCTGTCCTGTAGGGTCGCTATGAGTTGGAATCGACTTGAGCGCAATGGGTATGGGGTTTTTTTGGTTTTAAGGGCCGGGCCAGGAAGGAGACGGGGTGGAATAGCTGAGAGAATGCTCCTGCCACCTCCCTCCCCTACCCCCAGCAAGGCATTCTGAAGAACTCCCGGCGATCCAAACGGCTGGCTCCCAGGCAGTAAATCAGAGAGAGATTTCGCAGGGTTTGGAAAGCTGAACGGGAGCGGTAAAGCACAAAGAGAAGACAAGGAACTACAGAGAGCAAATAGTAAAAAAAAAAAAAAAAAAAAAAAAATCTGGTTTTCTCACTCACCTTTCAACGAATTTTTACGGGAAGACAAGGCAAATGAACTGTTTATATGGAGGATGCAAAAACAAAGTTAAAGAACTGTGCCAAAGATCAGGCGCATGATCTACAGCTTTTATTTGTTTAAATTAAAAACAAAAATTATAAATTGCAAAATGGAAAATAAGTAAAAGAATGGTCGACCTGGCTCATTAAAACGTTTATTATCTCTCCTTTAACAAAAAGATTTTTAAAAAAACTGTGTGTGGGGGGGGGGCGCGGAGTGTCCTTCAAGTCTTAATAAGATGCGTGTGTGTTCAGATAATATCGATGCAACAAACGAACAGAAAAGTGGAAACGGGGGGGGGGGGAGTTACAGGGCCTAGCAGAGCAAAGAGAGCAAGTGCAGGATGAATCAGAAATTATTTGACCTTCCAGACTCTCCCTGGGTTGACATCTACGATCAGGTGGATCAGGCCATGGCTGGGAGGGGCGCACCCCTCAGGGTGACTGTGTTTCCCGCCTCCTTCCTCTGAGTCAACTGACTAGGGCCTCCGAACTGCCGCGCCTCTCAGATCCAGGCCTTTCTCCCCCGGTCTAGATAACAGTCTCTGACTCCAGACGTGTCCTAGCCTCGACTTCCTTTGTCATTGATTTAGGGGTCTTGTTCTGCCCTGGAACGGGTCGGAGGCTCTGTAGAGAGGCTCTCCCTACGGTCCCTTCTTCCCAGCTGACTCCAGCCCGGCCCTCGGGCGCCCCCAAGAGTCTGGTGATTGGAGCTGCAGCGCCACCTCTTTGACCTTCCGGAGCTCAGAGCAGGAGGCCCAGGATGCGCAGCTGCGAGTTCTCGTTCCTTGAGGCCGCAAGAGGGTGCAAGTTCCCCGGTCCCTAGGCCTCTGTGGAGAGCCGAGCTGCCCGGAATGGTCTCCAGGAGCGGAGAAGAATCTCCACCCCATGCGCTGGAGCCAAGTCCTTCGACCGTGCGTGGCCAGTTCCGTGATCCGCCCGCCGCGATCTCAGGCTCGGAGCAGCTTCGCGTTGCCCCGGGCCTTCCCAGGGTAGGAGGAAGGAAGCCCCGCTGGGGGACGCTAATCTGAGTCTTCTCGGGTCAGTATTGGCAGTTTGAGAAAGACTAAGTTTCCCCGGAAAAGGCAAGATTCATTTGTGCCGTTAGTGGGGTTTTCTCCTTTCCATTTCCTTACACGAAGGAGGAAAAAAGAAGAAAAAAAAGAAGGAAAAGCACTTATTTTCTTGCACAGGAACACTAGCGGACATTAGTTGGGTATGTTTTAAAGATATAAGGAAAAAAAACAGGGGTGTTAGGCAGCTGGTTAGCTCAGTTGGTTAGAGCGTAGGGCTAATAACGCCAAGCTCGCGGGCTCGATTCCCGTATGGGCTACTCGGTAGGAGAGGGTGCGGTTTTTATATTTCTGTCTACCACGTCTCCTGTGGATGCTGCCTTCACACACCCAATTACGGATCTTAAATCGCTACCGTTAAACCAAATCCCTGACTATCCGTTCATTCAGTAGTTTAACTCGCTAGAGCAATTTTACTTTTAAGGTCCCTCCCCGTTCCCCCTCCCCCACCTTTCTTTTTTAAAGAAATAACTTGTAAAAGTTAGGATGTAGTTTTTAAAGGAAACTGAATGAGGTAGGGCGAGTGTATTTAGAGAAGGTGGGAATAGGAAGAACTGTTTCGGAAAAAACTTGAGACAATACGTTTTTGGCGTATTTTAAACTTTCAAAAGAAAGAGTTACAGTGTATAGCGAGGCCGGTTAGCTCAGTTGGTTAGAGCGTGGTGCTAATAACGCCAAGGTCGCGGGTTCGATCCCCGTACGGGCCAGAGGTCTTTTTTTTCTGTGTGTGGGGAATATACCCGGTTTGTCGCGCCGCTTGCGATGGAGTTCCAGACTCGCAATTATCAATGCTTCGCGGTGGAAATCTGGGTCAGTGGTTGTTTTTTGGTTATATTTCACCCGTCGTCTTCGGTGCTGCCACTTACCAAGTCCTTTCCAAACAGTCTGAATTGTTTTGGAACAGGTATCATAAAAGCTTTGAGTCGCAGACTTAAATGACAAAAATGAGGTCTAAGCGCCTCGCTCTCCCTGTCCTGCCCTTTTCCCGGAGTCTGGCCAGAGTCTTCGTGTGCCTGGCACGCATCTCCTCTTTATCTGTTTCTGTCCTCGTCCCTTGCACTGTCCCTCAGTCTCCTAACATATTTTTACTCCTTTTCTTTTTTAAAAGTATAGGTATAATGTGTAAGTGTATTATCTGATAGGCAATGGAGTAGTAGTTACCATTTATTAATTCATTCTAAAATTTTTTTTTTTCCAGGTGCAGACTTTAAGCCAGTTATTGTTTTTTGCCGGTTTATTGATCACCTACTATGTCCATGGCAATGTGCTTGGAGCCATTCTTACATCATTATTTACCAGTATTGTTAATGTCATGTTCATAGAAATCGCATGAGATAGGTATTAATTGTTTTTATGCTACCTGTAACGAAACTGAGGCTCAAAAAAGTTGTTTAAGGCTACACAGCAAATGAATTAAAATCCAGCTCTGTCTGACTACAGAAACATTAATCTTTTCATTGGCCTGGTGACTCTCCAATGTGATATAAGCATGCATTACACGTGCTCTGATGATCTCTTCCCATTTAGGCCAAGAGTGGGGTGGGGGGTGGCTGTATTGTATTCTTTCTTTTCAATCTCACGTCTCTTAATATATTCCTGGTAGGAGTTGTATAAATATTTGTGGAATGGAAATTATAATTATATAGTAGCAAAGACTATGTAATACAGACTATGTGCCAGTCACTGTTCTAAATGCTTGTATTGTTAACTATTGCTATCCTCACTTTACCGATGAGGGAAGGAAAGTAAAGAGAGATTAAGTAATGTGCTCAAATCAGGACACCTAATAATAGACACATACTGTATTATTTGGAAACCAAAACAGTGGATTTTATTCACCTAAGTATGAATTAAACCTTCATTCTAGTACTTTCATCGTCCCTTGCTTACAGACAGAAAAACAAACTCAATTCCCAACCTCTGTACCTCTTTTTTTTTCTTTTAATAAAATGACATTTCCATCCAATGCTCTTACTCTGATCCTCCTCCCCTTTTTTTTAAAGTATTCTTCTGATAATGATTTCTGAGTTTAATGCCCCAACATGCAAGTTTCTTAAGTCCTGCAGTAGAAAATCCAGGCTCTGAGTCGAGGTTGTGCCATTGTCAGTCTTCATGCTGAACCTCCTCTTCCTCTTCTAGGGCTCATCTGGGTAGGGTGATGAGCTGGTCAGTTTAAGGCACTGCATTAACCTTGGTTTTCAGCAGTCTGATCTTGATGCAGCGTTTCTCCAGGTAATTTTTTCTTTCTTCTTTCTTTTCCGCTCTAGGAGTACATCCTCTCCATCCACAAAACTGCTGGACTGCATCAACTGAGCAGGGAAGAAGGCCTGGAAGGCTACATTTCTATCTAATCAAAAACAGATTCATGGTGAAAAAGCTTAATTATTTGCATTGTTTCATCTTTTACAAGTGTGGTAGCAGAATAATGGTCCCCCCAAACCTATGAATATGTTACATTACATGGCAAAAGGGACTTTGCTGATGTGACTAAGGTTATGGATCCTAAAGTGGGGAAATTATCCTGGCTTGTCTAGGTAGGCCCAGTTAAATCACATAGACCCTTAAAAACAGAGAGACATCTCTGGCTGCAAGTAGAAAAGAAATGTAAGGGATGACATGACAGGAGAGATGAAGCAGAAAGATTTGAAGTATGAGAAGAACTCAACGGACTGTTGCTGGCTTTGAAGATGTGGGGACCACCAGCCATGGAATGCAGGTGGCCACCAGAAGCTGAGAACGACCTCTGGATGACAGCCTGCAAGGAAATGAGGACCTCAATCCTACAATCATATGGAACTGAATTCTGCCAACAACCTGAATGAGTTGGAAAGTGGATTCTCTCCTAGAGCCCCCAGTAAGGAATACAACTCTGCCAATACCTTGATATTAGTCTGATGCAGCCCCTGTCGGATTTCTAAACTGCAGAACTATGAGATAATAAACAGATGTTGTTTTAAGCTGCTAATTTTGTGCTAATTTGTTACAGCAGCCATAGAAAGCAAATGCAAATAGAAATTGTAAAACTATTTGTATACTTCTTAGTACTGTATCCTGGGTCATTTTTCTTTCACCAGTGAATGTAAGAGAAAATACAATTTTAAATGAGAGAACAATTTTCAATAATATCAACACATAAGAATAAAAACAAACAAAAAAAGCTTCCTTTAGTACAATCTATAAGATCCATGTACAGATTAAGGAGATACACACACACACACACACACACACACACACACACACACACGTATGTTCTGACATAAGGTAATATATTCACATGGTTCAAAAATCAGAAACTCTGTGAACAGTGAAGAGTTTCTATCTCTCTCAACTCCCATCTGCCCACTTCTCAGCATTACCTCTCATATGTAATTATTAGTTTTGTATGTATCCTCCTTGATTTTCCTTATGCACATAGATGTAAATGTGAATATGTCGTTGTTGTTAGCTGCCCTCAAGCGGCCCCTGACTCATGGTGATCCCATGTGACAGAGTAGAACTGCTCCATAGGGTTTGCTTGGCTGTAATCTTTACGAAAGCAGATCGCCAGGTCTTTTCTTTTGCAGAGCCACTGGGTAGATTCAAACAACCAGCCTTTATGTTAGCAGCCAATCGAAAATCGTTTGCGCCACCTGGGCTCCTTAAATATGAATATACATTTTATTTTTCCTTTGTAGTTACATAAAACATAACATTATACACTTTTTGTATTCTGATTTTTCACTTGATATATCTTGGGGATCTCTAATTTATGAACACTTACAGAGTTTTTCAAATAGCACATTTAACCTTATATACAGAAACAAAGTTTTTCTAGCCACCAGAAGTTGAATATTTGGGGCCTTTAAATTTACCCTACCACCAAGGATGGGAAGTACACAGGCAGGACTGGAGAGAGGGAAGTACGATTGCACCTTCAATTCTATGTGAATAAAGCATTTTCTGTGTGAAGCCATGTGTTATTTCAAGAAGCCCTAACGTAGGGGCTCCAAAGCCCCCTGTTGATCAAAGGAAATTACATATTCATTTGTTAAAAGACATAAAAAGGTAAAACCATGACTCTCATGCAGGTATAAAAATGAATACATGATAAAAAATAATAAAATACTTAGAAATAAATTTAACCAAGGAGATGTAAGACTTGTACACTGAAAACTATAACACATTGCTGAAAGAAATTAAAGATGACCTAAATAAATGGAAAGATAGCTCATGTTCATGGATTGGAAGACTTAATATTGTTAAGATGGTGTTATGGATTGAATAGTGTCCCCCCAAAATATATGTCAATTTGGCTAGGCCATTATTCCCAGTATTATGTGGTTGTCCTCCATTTTGTGATAAGATGTGATTATTCTACGTGTTGTAAATTCTAACCTCTATGATGTTAATGAGGTCAGATTAGAAGCAGTTGTGTTAATGAGGCAGGACACAATCTATAGGATTAGGTTGTGTCTTGAGTCAATCTCTTCTGAGATATAAAAGCGAGAATTGAGCGGAGAGAAGGACCTCCCATCACCAAGAAGTAAGAGCAGGGAGCGGAGTGCGGCCTTCTGACCTGCAGTCCCTGTGCTGAGAAGCTCCTAGACCAGGGGAAGATTGATGACAAGGACTTTCCTCCAGAGCTAACAGAGAGAGAATACCTTCCCCTGGAGCTGGCACCCTGAATTTGGACTCCTAGCCTCCTAAACTGTGAGAGAATAAGTTTCTGTTTGTTAAAGCCATCCACTTGTGGTATTTCTGTTATAGCAGCACTAGATAACTAAGGCAGATGGCAATACTACCCAAAGCAATTTACAGACTCAATGCAATCCTTATCAAAATCTCGATGACCTTTTTGGCAAAAATGGAAAAGCTGATTCTAAAATTCATATGAAATTGCAAGGGACCCTGAAGAGTCAAAACAATCTTGAAAAAGAAAAACAAAGTTGTAAGACTCATAATTCCTGATTCCATAACTTACTACACAGCTTTAGTAATCAAAAAAGTGTTGTACTGTGCAGTGAGGGAATTCGAGGCTGATCAATGAAAAAGATGTGACTACAAGATAGCAATGTTGCACAGCAAGCTATTTATTGGGGGCAGTGAATTTACAGCCACATGCAGCAGGTGGTCCCACACAGCAGGAGGTCTACCAGAGGCAAGGGCGAAGGGAACCACCAGAAGGAAAGAGGGCATGAAAAACCGTGGGAAAGAGAAGGGAAGGGGGAAAACTTTCCTGTCCCTATGCAATGTTCTCCTGCAGCAAGGTAGGGAGTTTCTG